CGCCTGCCCATTGGCCGCGGCCCGCCCGTGCCCAGGTTCCTCCCGCCCGCCGCTCTCCGCCCCATGCGTCTTCCGCGCCCCCACCCCCTTTTGCGGGCTCTCTCATTCTCAAATCCCGGGTCGACCCATTTCCCTCTCCCATTGGCCCGCCGCAGGTCCTGCCATTGGCGGGCGCTACCTGTCCATTTCCTGGGCGAGTTCGACACCTCTCGGCGGGAGGAGTCTCAGGCCTCATTGGGTACACGGGGAGGTGGATCCTGGAAGGTAAAGCTGAGCCTTCGTTCAGGCCGGCGTGAAGGTCTGGCTCTTTGTTTGCGATTGATACATAGGGCCACCTCGGGGGCAGCACCTGTATTTCTTCCACCTAGAAGGGCTTTTGAAAGTGAGCAGGGGAAACCAAGCTGGGTAGCATTCCCATTTCTTCCCCAGCTCTCTTTAACTGTCGGATTCACCTCTTTCTTGAGTCTGTCTCGGCCCTAGTTCACTGGTGGGTCAGCGTCCAAGCCTACCTGGTGGAGATTTCACTAAATCGCTCCGCCCCCTGCTCCTTAACCTCACATCTCTTCTTTAAGTCCCTTAGGCTCACGGGAACACGTTCTTTAGAAGAACCTTTAAACCGTCAGCTCTCACCTTCACGAAGACTTCACACCACCTGCCCCCTCCTGGGTCTCCTGTGAGACTTCTAAGTGCGGTTTTCAGAAGTCAAAGACTTCTGCCTTTTCACCAAAGACTGCCTGCCTTTTCACCGGGTTGGCCTCTCTATGAGAGACTCCTAGAGGAGTTGCACCGAAGACCGTGCTGCCATCTCTATCGCAAACCTCAACCGAACCCACTGCCCTGGCGTTGATTCCGACTCATCGCGATGCTAGGGTTTCCAGGACTGTAAATCTTTAAGAAGACAGGATGACATGTCTCTCTCCCACTGGTAGACCAGTGACTTCTGACTTTCTGATAGCAACTGAGTGCTTTTACCCACAGGCATGGGAGAGCTCCTTATGTTCTGTGGAGATCAGAGAATCCACAACAGCATGTAAATACAACCTGGCGCTATAGTTCATGACAAGGGCCCAACTTCTTCCTACATCCTTAAACAGGAATTAGGTGGTGTTAGGTGCTGCAGAATCAACTACAACTCACAGAGGTCCTACGAACAACAGATCTGAGCCTTGCCTATCCTGTGTCATCCTCACTGTCTCTGACACATGTATACCCATTGGTACAGTCACTGTGTATCTTCCTCTCTTAACACTGACTTTCCACCTTTCCAAACAGCGTGTCCTTCCTAATATGTCTTCTATGCTTTAATAATTTTCTAACTCAAGCATAAGTAATAAAATGTCTATTCTCTATGTTCAGTAAAGATCTATCTGACATTAGCAATGACATTTCCGGTGTCACAACTTCTTCTAAGACCTAGTCTGAATTTCTGGACAGTTCTCTGTCAATATACTGTACTAAAAACAAACAATAAATTACTAAACAAAGATGGTGCAATATCTCTGGGCTTTTACGAGACTCCTGAGAATCAACCCAGCTAAAGCATTTCAGTTCACTTGAATGAGACATGTTTTGTATCAAAGGAGGCATTAATGTGAAAGGTTCACTCTCAGAAGTTGGCCAATTATTGTGGCACACTTAATCGCCACTTTGTACAATGTAGATTTGAAGGAGAGTGGTGAAACGTTAAATGTGGCATTTTGGGGGGAAAAATACTGTTCTATCCTTTTGCGGGTGATTTGTTTGCATGTCAATGATAATTGAGACACTGTTCAATAATTTTCACATTCTGTTGGATCGCCTTTCTTGAGAATGGGAATAGGCTCTCTTCCAGTCACCTTGCCAGGTAGCTGTCTTCCAAATTTCCTGGCACGGACTGGTGAGCATATCCAAGACTGCATCTGTTATTTGGAACATGTCAGCTGACATCCCATTGATTTCTGGGGCCCTTATTTTTTGCCAATGCCACCAATGCAGCTTGAACTTGTTTGCCTCAACACTGTCGTTGTTGTACGATTCACCGTGACCCTATAAACAACAGATTTGAACCTTGTACTATCCTATGGCAAACTCAGTCTCTGACACTCATATGATACTTCCGGAAATATTTCAGGGTTGACCGATTCTTTTTTGTACAGTGACCTTCCATCTTTCTTTGAAGATCATTCAAGATTTTTCCAATAAATTCAGTATTTTAAATTTTATTTTAGTATGTATGTGTGTGTGTGTGTGTGTGTGTACCGGCAAATCGGATCTGACTGGTGCAGGAGGAGATTGCCCCTCCTTCTCCAGCAAAGCATCTGCTGGATTTGAACCGTATACCTCTGGGATTGCAGTGCAGCTTCTTGCCACTAGGCCACCAGACCTCCCTTACCCTGTCTTTTCAAACCCCCATTAAACCTTTCCCATAAGTCAACCCCTCTTTTACCCTCTAATCTTTTATTGTCTCAGTGATTTTTTTCCCCTTCCCCTTTTGCTGCCTCTTTTATCTCTTTTCCATTTTGAACATTTATACATATCTTACTCAATTGTCTTCTATTTTCACAAAAGTGGCCTTATGCAATATTTTTCCATACATGACTGAGATATTTCACTCAGCAAAATGCTCAGTCTCTCCCAAGTTTTATAGTATTCTACAAAATCATTGCTCTTTAGTGCTGCATAATATTCCATTGTGTGAAAGTGTCACAACTTCTTAATGCATTTGTTTGTTGATGGGCAATTGGGCTCCTTCTGTTTTCTTGCTGTTGTGAATAACGATGCTGTTTTGAACACAGGTGTTTAAATGTCCATTCATGTTTCAGTTTTGATTTCTCTGGAATATATTTCTAGCAGTGGAACAGCTGCATTATATGGGATTTCTATGTCCAGCATTTTGAGGAAATACTACAATGCCTTCTATAGAGGGTGTACTATTTTTCAATCCTACCAGCAGTGCATGAGACTTCCAATCTCTCCATATCTGTTTTGTTGAACTATGCTACTACCACTCGAGTGAGGTGATATCTCATTGTTATTTTTATTTGCATCTCTCTGATTGCTCATGATTTTAAACATTTCCTCATGTGTTTCTTGGACATCCAAACGTCCTACTTTGTGAAGCATCTTTTTATGTCATTTTGTGATTGGATTATCAGTCTTTTTCTTATGGAAGTCCTGTAGTATTTTGTAAACTTTGCTTATGAGACCTTATATGTTGTTACAAATTTTTTTTCTTCTAGATCTGTAGATCTTCTTTTTACTCTACGTTTTTGATGCACACAGGGATTTGATTTTAAGGACTCATTTATTGATCTTATCTTCTCAAAGTTGTACATTTTTTTACTATGATCACAAGCCGATTTATTTTGTAGGCTGGGTCTTCTAATTTTGTTCCCATGTTGTCTTTTATGATCTCTATGGTTTTGGGTTTTACTCCTATGTCTCTGATACACTTTTAATTGGTTTTCGTTTATAGTGGGAGGTATGGATCCTGTTTCAGTATTCTACTGGCAGATGTCCAGTCTTGCCAGCATCACTTGTTAAAGAGGCTGTCATTTCCCCATTTAATTACTTTTACTGTCTTGTCAAATATCAGTTGACCATAGGTTGACTTCTTGATTCTTGATTCTACCATTGATCTGTATGTCTGTTATACAAATACCTTGCTGTTTTCATTACAATAACTATGTAGCAGGTTTTGGGTTCAAAAAGTGAGTTGCCTCCAACTTCATTTTTTTTTAACAGCTTCTGAGTCTCTTTTCTTTCTGAAAGAAATTGTAAATTGCCTCTTCTATCTTCTTGAATGAATTTGGTATCTGTATTGGAATAGCACTGAATTTATAGATTGCTTTTGGTAAGACTGTCATTTTCACTAATTTGAGGCTTTCTATTCATGAACGGTTTTCCTTAAAAAGGTCTTTTGTGTCTCTGGTTGAATTTATTCCGAAGTACTTCATCTTGTGGTTGGCTATTGTAAAAGGTATTGCTTTCTTAGTTTCCTTTTCCATGTTCTGCTTCTCTCAGTATTGCAACTCAAGACTTGACTTTGTTTTTTTAGTTCTTTCAAATTGAGAAATGCAGAACTGAAAGCAGAGAATGTCTATTTGTGTCTTATTGTCTCTGCAAAGGCATTTGACTGTGTGGGTCATAACAAACTACAGTTAACATTGATAAGAAGAATGGGAATTCCAGGACACTTAATTATTCTTATACAGAATCCATGACTACACCGAGAAGCTGTTCAAACACAGCAAGGGAACAATGCGTGGTTTGGAATCAGGAAATGGCTATATTCTTTATACCTATGCTGTCTGTACACTGAGCAAATCATTTGAGAAGCTGGACTTTATTAAGAAGAGTGTGGGATCAGGTTTGAAGGAAGACTCATCAGCTACCTGTGTTATTATATAGATGGCACAACCTTGTTTGCTGAAAGTGAAAACTTGAGCACATTTTGCATAGGATCAAAAAGTGAAGTCTTCAATATGGATTACAGCTCAACATCAAGAAAACAAAAATCCTCACCCCTGGGCCAATGGCAACATCCTTAT